GAGTGCTTCCAAGGTCACCCAAGCGAGCTCTACGACCCAAGACAGCCCCAAGGGCGCCCAAGAGCGCACCAAGTCTTCGGCCGCATGCCTGTTGACATGATTATATAGCCGACCAAGTGGAACCAAATTTTGCCTATTCATCACAGATTCGGGAATCATATTGACCCGTTTGATAGGCATGTGGTCTGGATGTCCTGGTAAGTGATCTTGCAATCGTGGTCCCAAGATAAATATCGGAGACGATGTATTTGAAGCTACGGTTAACTCTCAGGAACATCAGCTAGACAAATCTACTGTAATAGGACCCGTGGGTATACGCAAGCCGGCTGGCCGACTGGACGGAAGGCGGGCGCGCGCGACCTTATCCTTTTAGCAGATATAGCTATGTCACCTCCTCCCCGTCATCATCACCAACACCACCACCACAACCACCATCATCACCACCATTACCATCACCATCACCACCATCATTATCATCATGCATCCCGTTCCTCCATCTCGCGTTTTCATCCTCAGCAATTTCCACGCATCATCCGCATCCCCATACAACTTCTCCTTCCCTCTATTGATTTATCCCCCCTGATCCTTCCCTCGTCACCACCATCACCCGTCTTCCTTTCCGCCCCCGCATCATCCCCGCATCACTCCCCACATCAGCCTCACCCCCACCTTCCTCTCGTAAGCCCCCTCCAATCCACCCCTGTCCCACTCATGAGTCGCCTCGTCCTCGTCCTCCTCCTCCTCCTCCTCCTCCTCCTCCTCATCCTCCTCCCCGTCTTCCCGTTTCCTCTGTCCTCCTCCTCCTCCTCCCCCTCCTCCTCTTCCTCCTCCTCCTCCTCCGCCTCCTCCTCCTGCCCCCTCCTCATCCTCCTCCCCTCCCCCTGGCCTGCGGGGACGGCGCCGACTCGGCCGCGACGGGCTCCGGGGCCGCCGCGGCGGGCTCGGGCTGCTCGCGCTTCTCCGCGGCCACCCGCAGCGGCCTGGTCGCCGCGGGACAGCGACCAGCGGAGGCGGCGGCGCCGTCCGAGGGTATCGAGGAAGAGGAAGAGGACGACGGGGGGGGAGGATGTGGGAGGAGCAGAAATGAGGGGGGAGATCGTCGTTGTCGAACGTCGGATGAAAAGTCTCGCTGCTCTCGCCCGCAAGGGGGCGGACTGGATGGCGCGAGTACCACTTCCGCCACCAGACGCCACAGACCAGCACAGGGTGAAAGGGAAGAGAGTGATGGCCAGGCGAAGCGAGGAGATCGCTCCAAACCTGAAAGGGGAAGGAAGAAAGAAAGGGTATTTTTGAGCATCCACGGGCACGCTACGCGCTACACAACGTACTCTCATGACGGTGGTGAACCCCCCGAAGACCACAACAGGGAGCGCTACTCACCTGCAGGACAAATCAGAATTATTACCTGTTCCCCACCTGCAGCGGGAAAGGCCTCTGGAGGCCCAAAGGCCGAAATAGAGGCAGGAAGGTCCACCCGGAACCTTCGTTTCAAGACCATGTCCAGCCATGGCGAGTGAATGCCTGCGGACAGGAGCCCGCCAACCCACACTACACCAAAGCAAACTCCCTGGCGGAAAAAAAACGCCGCAAAGAATGCACAAATGGGCGCTCGAGCCGTCTGAACATACAAGGCAGCGCCAGTTGGGCATGACCGTTCGAATCAGCCGCATCCAGATCAGGAGCCTTCGAGACCCCAGAGTACTGGCCAGGCGGGGGTTCACAGAGGTCTCCGACAATGGGGAGGAGTGTGGATGAGCGACAACCCTGGAAGCAGACAGCACAGCGCTACAAGCGAGAGTACCAGCGCCACTGGCAGGGCGAGGCAAACTCTCCAGGCTCTCGCGCCCTGGTGGCCAACCGCCCCAACTCGCGGCCCTCTAAGTCAAGGCGCGGCCAAATAGGCAAACAGCTTTCAGCAAAGCGGCACGCGGCTTTCTTTCGAGATGGAAACCCAGCGGCTGACTCGGTCCGTCTCCACTTGAGACGGTTGTGGGTGCACTACGGCACCCGCCTCAGCCGCGCCGTCGGCGTGGTCGTTGCCACGACGCCGAAGCAGCTCCTCAACTGACTAGCCCACGCCTGCAACGCCTGCCACGCCTGCCACGCCACCTTCTCCGCGTCGATGTATGTGTTCACACTGTTTACACTAGACACGTGCGAGCCACTACTTTACCAACGCGGACCCCAGCAGCAAGTTCAGACAATGTGGAGATAAAGCCTGTGCGGCGTAAGCTACGGTGTGTGAGCTATGGTGGACAAGGTATGCTGTGTAAGGTATGGAATGTGATCGACGTCGCGTGGGCTGCACGGTGTGGGCTATGCTGTGCGAGCTATGCTATGTAAACTATGCGATATACACGTTGTGAAAGTCGTGTGGCGTGAGCTATGCGATGCGAGTTCGACGGTGTGAATGGTGGTGCAAGCTACATTGTGTAATCTACGTGGCATAGGCCATGCGGTTTTGCTGCGTGACCTGTGTGACGTAAGCCCTGTTATGTGAGCTGAGTGTGTGCTGTGGGCTGCGTGGCATAAGCTGGGTCTCGCAAGCTATGTCGTGTGTTATATATGGTGAAAGCGGTGCGGTGTGAGGTGGGGCATGTTCGGGTCGGGCGAAAGGGGGGGATAGCAAAGGGGGGGTTGAGAATCAGCTCACGCAGCTGATTTTTCCAGCGCCTCCCGCCGCCAGAGGCGGCGATGTATCGAGGCATGGGCCCCTCGGTGAGGCCGAAACCAGCTGCATGCAGCAAATTTCGTAGCCCCCCCCTTTCCCAATCCCCCCCTTTCTAGAGGGAAGAGAACTATGCACATGCACCGATCCTGGCCAGGCCCATCCTGAGCCCAGGATCGGTGCATACGCCCTCCTACCACTGGCCAGGAAGGCATATGCACCGATCCTGGGTCAAGGATGGGCCTTGCCAGGATCAGTGCATGTGCATAGTCCTCTTCGCCCGACCTTTCGCCCGACCCGACGTGTGCAGTGAGCTCGGTGGCGCGAGCTATACGCGGTGGAGGCCACGTGGCGCCCGAGGCCGGGCACCGGGCGACACCTCTGCGTGCCCCCCCCCCCAGTGAGCGGGCGCCCACGGGCGCCCACGGGGCGCCCACGGGGCGGGCGGCAGGCGAAACCTCAGCATACTCCAGATTTCGTCCACGAGGAGGAGGAGGACGAGGACGAGGAGGAGGACGAGGAGGAGGAGGAGGAGGAGGAGGAGGAGGAAGAGAAGGAGGAGGGAGAGGGCGGGCAGCAGGGAGGGGGTCTCAACCCTCCCAGACGAGAAGTTTTAGACCCCCCCCCGTGGGAGAAGCCTCCAAAACATCGTCCCCAGGCCCCCCCCAGGCCCTCCAAGATAGCCTGGAAGAGACCCTCCCCGAAATGAGACCCCCTCCCTTTTATTACGAAATCTGGAGTACCCATCTAGTTCCTTACGCAACTTGAAGAAGGGGCAAGGACAGGGGAGGATGGGCATAGGGGGGGATGCATCGACCTGGAATCAGCGATACATCGTCGGTAGATCGGCGATGGGCCTCCGATAGAGAATCCGCATCTTCCTGGGCAGGTTCGGGCTATCGGGTCCCTGTCAGCGATAAATAAGCGATTTGGGGCCGATGCATCCCCCCCTATGCCTCTCCACCCCTATCGTTGCCCCTGACTGGACCAAAAAACCCAAGTGCGAACACTGCTTGGGAAAGGATCGTCCCCAAAACCGGCCAGGCATGCGCTCAAAAGCGGCAAGACATGCTGCTTCACGACTGCAATTCGATCCGAGAAACCTTCGCTCGCACCGACGGCCTTGAGGCAGGCCATTCCGAGACCAGAAAGTCTGGTGGCCAAGGCAAACTGCGGCAATGGCCAGTGCACCAGCCCAAGAACAGACACAGCTTCCAGTCCTCAGCAATTCTGCGCACTCCGCAACCAGCACGGCACAAGTCGGCGATTGAGGTCTTCAAGGAAGGCCCGTCGAAGGAAAGCTGACCTTGCAGGTCCCCATGTTCGCCTTCAAGAAACCGTCCGATCCGATGAGATCACCCCATCGAAGAGAAGAGACACGGCCGAAAGGCCTCCGAGTGTTCAAGAATGCCCCTCGGGAAAAAAATGCGTTCCCCATCCGACAGACCGCCTTAGGTTTAAGTCGGGCGTGTCCCCCTACTGGGGGATTTTCTAAGAAAACTGAAAAATACCCTCAAAATACCACAAAAGGTGTAAGAAATACTCCAAAATTAGTCCCCAGACTATTTTTGTACTATTTTGGGTGTATTTTTTATTTTTCGTCGAAAATCCCCCTGTAGGGGGACAGGCCCGACTTAACCTTAGGCCTCAGCAATCACTGGAGCCTTGTGAGGGTCCCCCCTCTTCCCCACGTACGCCCTGCAAAACCATGATACGTGATGCACCTCGTCCCTCTCCAACCCACATGAAGCGCACAACACCGCTCCGGGCGGTGGCTGCTGGCCCAGGGCGGCAGCACGGTCAGGCTCTCAGACTCCGTCACCAGCAATTTAACGGATGGCTCCACGTTCTGATTCTGGAATGCTTGTCCGGAGCAGTTTGCGATTCCCCAATGGCGAAACATGCTACACCCCGCCCCAAATTGATAGTTGTCAACAATGCTACACTTCAAAATTGGAATAACTTGCCGGCGCAAGGTACTTTTCAAGAGGGCGGGGCTGAGATCGTCAGGCGAAGGAAATGACAACACAATGCTGGCCCCGAATCGTCGCAAAATCAGGCGTTGTCCATTTCAGCCTTCGGATAACTAGAGCAACGACGACACAGGACCAGTGACTACATTGCAATTGACGGGCTGTTCCACCCCATCCTTTGAATGTCAGACTACGAATCTGAAAAACTGTTGCATGCACGACGGAACACTGGCAGAAGAACCGGGTACGACAAAAAATGAGCCTGCCCTGCCCACACCACCTTGCTCCATCTCGCAATGGGTGCAACAACTCCATACCAGCGCTGCCCATCTTCGAAAGCGAGAACAGCAAATAGCGACCTGTTGCCGCTGGGAAGGTCGGAAACACCTGCCTGCAGCAACACGCACGGACTGCAAAACTGAATCACTGATCCCGTGGACCTCCGCATATCTAACTCGCATACGATGTCTGACAACACATCCCCAAGGTGCCCAGACTTCCCCGCCGCATCGTCGATCATCAGATGGACCGCGGTCGCGGTGCCACCCGCGCCACCATGACCGCCTAAACAATCCTGGAAAAACTTCCCGAGCCTCGAACAAGAAGAGATGACGCAGGCTTCATCTGGCGACAAGATTTGGGTGGTGATCACAACATCAGCAGCGCCAGACTGCAAACCGTATAAGACTGAAGAAGGCTGCCAGAAGCCGCCAATCCCACATCATCAGTGAAAGCTCGATGCCAACAGCGAGAGGATGTAATGCACTTCGAGCAATCGCCGCGGCCACACCGAAACCTGTTACGACCCCCCTGCGAAGCAGATTCGAACCAATACGAAGCCGAAGTGTGACAGCGGGAAACCATTGTTCCATACAACGCGAGGCAAAGTCCTCCAAGCCGATAGCCTCGCACAACGTAAACATATCCCACAATTCCTCCCGCGCTTTACATAATGCTCACTTCTATGGGTATGCTGTAAACCGCCGATGAAGCGCGATTGAAACCGTAGCCTTCGAACAAACACCTGTTTCATCGCCTCCTCTTACCCCAGATCTATGGCTTCCCTAACCTACCCCCAGATGTGGCGAGGGACAGTGGAGATACCGATGGGCTTGAACCGCCTGCCCCCCCCCGTGGGTTTCGTGAACCTTGCTGGCATCACGAGCGAGCCGAATCTGAAAAGGAAACGACAAACACACTTCACAAGCACTGAGTGTACGAGAACACATATCCAGAGCACCGTCACTGTGGACAGCGAAGTGCCGCATGTGGAAGCCGTCAACTGGCACAGCCGAACTCCCATTGCATTCCCTGCTGGCCCGACGAAGGCATGCGGGCGAAATCCTGGGCAGGGGGAGAGGGGGAAGGGAGAGGGTGCAGCGGGGAGGAGTGGGAGGGGGCAGAGAAGGGAGGAACAATGAGCAATGAGAAGCGCATCGGTTGGCAGAGCCAACACTGGCTCACCAGACGTCGCGACGGCGTGCACGGGGGAAGGATCTGAAACCGGCACTGCTACCATTGTTTTTCCCCATCCCCCGACGAGGGAACTGCTTGGGGGCCGCAACCAAGGGAATAGTGAGACGGTCGGGCAAAAGATACGTACGAAAACTGGTGGCGCCACAGGGATCCTGAATGACACCCCTGGTCACTAAATCGGTCGACGCCCAGTGCCGCCGAGATTCGCCCTCTTCGAAACTCGGCTCGTCCATCATCCTCGTCGACCAGGGCCGACAATCTCGGTGCCTTGCGCCCACAGGGGCCGTTCGGGGCTGGCCCGATGGAGCTGATCCGCCTGCCCCCCAGCCGCGGAATCGCCCAGGAACCTCAAGAGAAGGCTCCTGGTCCTGCTCCCGTGCTCGTCGTGGCGCATCGCGGACGTGAGCCGACCCGTCTCGCGTTTGCCCTCCCCTCCAAACCCCTGTCGTCCCCGGGGACCTGCGAAAGCGGAAGGGGGGATCGCGGCTCCGCGCTCGGAGGTGCCGGCGTGCGCGCTGAAATGTTCTCTGCAGGTTCCTTGGAGTCTGAACCCTGGCCCCTCCCTCCCTCCCTCCCTCCCTCCCTCCCCCGCTTTCCCTGCTGGGGAATGCAGACCTGCGCCCCGCGCCTGGGCCGCGCGGTGGCCCGCGCCGAAACGTCGACGGGTTCTCCCCCCTGCTGCCCCTCCAGAAACTCCCTCGACACCTCGTCGCGCCCCACGCCCGCCTCGATCACGAACTGACTGATCCCCCGAAGTCAAAAAATAGTCGAAAAATCCTCCCCAGACTTGGGCGTTCTTTTCGTCTTTTAAGCCTATTGACATCTTAAACAGCGTTGGTGAACACTAAAACGCCGAAGGCGTGCACTAAAGCATGCCGAAAACTCCATGACTGAAACTATAAAAAAACACTCCGAAAAACACTTCATGATATAAACAGCTCACGCGCGCGAGTCCCATATTCGAAACTAACCGCAATAAGTCGCAGGGGTGCTCTGCCATCCCATAAACAAGGCCATGCGTCCTCGGGCAACGCCCCCGCACCACGACGACGACGACGGTGGCGGCGGCGACGAAGGCGGCGACGACGGCGACGGCGACGGCGACGGCGACAACGACGACGACGACTACGCGACTACGCGGCGGCGGCGGCAGTAGTCGTGGCAGTAGTCAGTAGTAGTGAAGACGACGACGAAGGCGGCGACGACGAAGGCGACGGCGACGGCGACGACGAAGGCGGCGACGACGGCGACGACGGCGACGGTGGCGACGGCGACGGCGATAGCGATGATGTATCGGCATCCAAGATCCGCCAGGCGCCAGGCAAGAGTCCTTGCCACTGCACATCAAATACAAATTCTGAATTACTAATTAGTTTCAGGAGGATTAGATGAGCTCAGAGGGGAGAGGGGAGGGGATGAAACTCAGAGGGAGGGGATGAAACTCAGGGAGGGAGAGGGGAGGGGAGAGGGAGGGAGAGGGGAGAGGGAGAGAGAGGGGAGGGGAGGGGAGAGGGGAGGGGATGAAACTTAGAGGGCAGAGGACTCAGAGCTCAGCGGGTCACCCGTCATCCTCCACCAGCCTCCATCGCACCGCGTGCCTGGGGATTGAGGTTTGAGGGTTTGAGCTGAAGGCGATCAGGGATCCAGGTATCAAGGATCAAGGTTCAGGGCCTCCCCCCCCCCTCCCCCCCCTCCCCCTCGCAACGGGCAACTGGGAGGAGGGACCCTTCCACCCAGGGAATTGGGAGTTTCAGGTTGGGGGGAGAAGGGGGAGGAGGAGGAGAATGCGGAGAAGAAGGAGGTGGAGGCCTTGATCACCTTCAGCTCGTTACCCTCCAGCCCCCACCAGCGCCGAAGCCTCTGGCGCATGGACTTCTCCTCTGATCGAAGAAACACGCCTGTTACGCCCCAGCAGCGGCGGCGCCTCGCAAGGCGGGAAGCATTGGCGACGACGGTGGCCCACCTCAGTTGGGCTTGGCTCACCTTCTCGGGCTCCTCAACGGGTCCTGTCGTCACCTCCTCCTCCTCCCCCTCAGAAATAGGCCGAAGGAGCGTCCAGGACATCGCTGGGCGCTGGGCAGGCTGCAGAAACTGCGCGGAGGGAAGATGTGGTCTGGAAATCTGGAAAGGCTCGAGATGCGAAACTGCGTGGGGGTGGGGAGATGGGGGGGAGGATGGGAGGGATTGAGGATAGAGGATAAGGATGGAGGCATGGAGGGAGGATGGGGGATGGAGGAGGGGGGTGGGCAAGGAGCGAGGAGTGAGGAGCAGCGAAGGAGAGAGGGAGAGAGAGAGAGAGAGAGAGAGAGAGAGAGAGAGAGAGAGAGAGAGAGAGAGAGAGAGAGAGAGAGAGAGAGAGAGAGAGAGAGTGAGAGAGAGAGAGAGAGAGAGAGAGAGAGAGAGAGAGAGAGAAAACAAAAAACACACACACACAGAGAGAGAGAGAGAGAGAGAGAGAGAGAGAGAGAGAGTGAGAGAGAGAGAGAGGGAGGGAGAGAGAGAGAGGGGGAGGATTAGAAATTAGAAGGAGGAGGCGAGGAGAAGGAGTGAGAGGATGATGAGGAGGATGGAGAGGAGGAGGGGGGAGGGAGGGGATGGGGAGGCGGTAGATTGCAGGGGATGACGATGATGAGGAGGAGGGGAGGGAAAACGAGGGGGAGAAAGGAGGCCCACTCCGCATCTTAGATCTTAGATCTTAGCACGCTGGGCCAGGGAGCTGGGGGCGAGCGACAAAACCGCTAGGCGCGCCAGGCTCAGTGCTCTTGGCCTGGAGGCTCTGGCCAGGCGCCAGGCTCAGCGTTCTGGGTCTTGAGTCTTGAGGCCTTTCTTGGGTTCTTGGGTGGCTTCACAACACGGGGCTCGGGCTCAGCGTTGGCCTTGTGCTGCACCTCATGGGGCTGACAAGGCTGCGCGACGGGGGGCTGACCAGGCTGCGCAGGCTGCTGGGCTGGACGTCCGAGCGATGACCAGATGCCAGATGCACCTCATCACGCCTTGGGCTGCACCTCATGGGGCGGGGGCTCAGAACAGCTGGCAGAACGTGAGCGCTCCGGCGATCGCTCACGGGCGAACTTGACTTTGACCGTGAAAGTCACCTCATCCGCACGATCCTCGCGGGTGCACGGTTCAACCCCGCGTCCCTTCCTTTCTCTTTTTCTCCCCCTCCTCTCTTTCCCCTTTCCTCATTCACCGTTCTTCCTCCGCCCAATCCTCCCTCCTCCCTCGCCTCCTCCTTCTCCTGCCCCTCCTCCTAGCTCCTAGCTCCTAGCTCCTAGCTTCCTAGCTCCTAGCTCGTAGCTCTACCGTCGCTCCTCCCCCTCCTCCTCCTCCTCCTCCTCCTCCTCCTCCTCCTATCCCTCATTCTCCTGCTCTTCCCCGCTTTCACCCCGTTGCTCCCGAAGCTGCTTGGGCAACACGATAGGAATATACAAATTGCCCGTGTTGCCGATCCGGACGTCGGGCGCTGGCGCGTGTTCGGCAGCCCCCGTGCGCGGCCCATTCAATATGTGCGTAGCGTGGTCCGTTTCTGGCGGGAGTGGGGGGAAGGAGGAGGACTGGGGGCAGGAGGAGGAGGAGGAAGAAACCGAGAAACCGAAAGGGTTGAGGAAAAGGAGCGGGGAGGAAAACGAGATCGCGGAGTTGGGCGTTGGACGAGGACGAGGGCAAGGTGAAGGAGGAGGTGGAGGAGGAGGCCTGTAATCTTGACGTTGAACACAGAGGGGCCCTGGTCCACTGGTTCGATGGACTCTTTCTTGGCGGCGACGAGCAGGGCCGCTGGCGGGGGTGTCCTGGGAGCCTTGGGGCGGCGCCGTACAGGCGGCGCCGACACGGTGTCGGCCGACATGGCTTGGCAGGCGTGCAACTGTGGGCCGTCCATGGGGGC